AAAATAAAAATAAAAAAAAGAGTTTATTAAAGCATTTTCAATAATACATACACTATACAACCCTAAGGACAATTGAGCACCTATAAGATGTAAAGGCACTTGTAAGTCCTGTGAAACTTGCCTTAATGTGACAACTTAGGAGTGATCTGTACTTAGGACCAAAATAAATGAAAAGAAGATTGATATATACATTGAACTATGAGCAGTGCATAATTTAATCCCAGTCGTGAGAAAAATACACAGATTCCCTTAGGCCTTCAACATTCAGCAACCCACCACAAAATAAATATAAAATTTAAAATAAAGATAAAAAATTCTTCCAAAAGAAGGGAATGATTTATAACAGATGAGGGAATAGGATCGCATTTTGAGCAGAAAAAAAATTGTCTCCCTTGATTTAAATCCACACATATATGTACCACGAACTATTTTAAAAACTAGTTTTGGGGATAGATAAGTGGGAAGGATTTCAAAGTTCGAGATTTAATTAGGGATTTAAAGAAAAGTAATTGATTGTCAAAACTTGAAGAATCATTGAAAGTTGCTCTGAATAAAGCAGCAGATAATAATGTAAACAGCAACTGTAAATAGTATGTGAACACTAATTTTGAAAAGCTGCAAGGAGAAAATCATTTAAGGGACAAGGTTGGACGTATAAACCACTCTCAAAAAAACCACAAAATTTTTCAAATTTTCAGTGATTGATTATAGTAAACCCTAAACTTTACTTTGACCTCCAGAAAAGACGACTTAAAAATAAATACTGAAAACACCGTCAAACCCTTTTACAACGTTTATTGTCAACTGCCTAGTCCAAAACAATACATTCTTCCAACTATTTGTCCAACATTCATGATTTCCACAATATTACAAGGACACAGAACAAAAATTAGATAAAAGATCAGAAAGCTCAACAACAAACAAGCTGAGAGACAGGTCATATACATATTGATGTATGACTTGCTTTCTAGAAATACACACACACAAAAACAAGCAATAAACAGGAGTATCAATCATAAATAAAAATCCCCGAAAATATCAATCTATAAATTAATTCAATAGTTCAATTTGGCATCAACTTCATGGATAGTCAGTAATATCATATTTATTGTCTGAACTTGCAACAAACCTCCAAAAGCAATCTCCGAACACGTTCCTCCAGTGGCATAGAAAGGAAAAACCTGAAACAATATCCATCTGAACTTTTAAATTTAACATTAAAATTAGCCGTGAGAATATTAAGCAATATACCTAGATATAAGTAAACAAAAGTATACATACACACATGGACATAAATACACATATTTGTTAATGAACAAGACATCTATAAATAAAGCCATATAAATACAATTAATAGGGCAGATACAGCTAAGATGAGTGCAAATAAATTCATATCCCTTTCACCGGGCTGATCGACATACAGAATATAAACTGCTGTCATGGAAATGATCATCAAATTCTAACCAGGCTGCAAAGGATTAAGTTCACAAACAAAGTATCATAAAAAAGGATTAGAATCCCACTTGACAAACTCATAGCCTCTCCATGTGTAGGCTAATAAAACTTACAAGAAGCACTATCCAAAGTAGAACACCACTAAAAGGCACATAATTAATTATTTTTAATATTTCCAGAACAACTTTGATTTTCTAGCAACTGTTTCTTTCCTGACAAGATTTCTATCACTACACCATAACCTGATAATTTTTATCAAACGCCATTCTCTTATTAAAGCAGCATTACAGTTTCATAGGCACATGAATAACTCTCATGCATCCATATACACAATGCACATATGTACATGCTTCCTGCACACAGATTTTCATACATACCAATCCACAAAATAGAGATATACATACAAGGTTTAGGGCATAACAGCTAAATGGCCGACAAACACAAACAAAAATGCATGGTGTAATGCATAATAGCTATATTGCCTTCATTGAAATGGAAGAGTTATAAAAAAAATTAAAAGATTAGAAAAGTGACTATACCTTCTTGAAAGACTTTTGGATTTGATGTTACTGTCACATGCTCCAGGGCATAAAGAGCTAACATATTCATACCTGTAATAATCGTAAAAAAATATCAAAATTGTACAATTAACTCATTCAACAAACAAGACAAGTAATTTTGCACAACTACATAAACTGCATACGGATTCATTGTGAAGTGCAGATTAGAACTTTCTTGTGCCAACATTCTCTGCAGATATCTAGCTGAGAAATCACTCTTCAACCCATGGTACTTCAGCGGAACCCAACACTGGATAAAAAGGATAAACAAATATTAAATGAACAAAACAGGCTTTAATTAACTTTATAGTTTGCAAATTAGCACTCGATTTGGTTATTGGAAAAATGCTTGTCAGAGGGAACATTGTATAGTTAACTCTAATACCTCATCCTCATGTGTTCTTTTTTCCTCAGCAGAAGCCTCAATCCGCTTATTCTGAACCACAGAAAATCATGATACTTCGATCTCAACAATTACAACATAAATATAGACAAGAAAAAGTAATAGACCAGCCAGAATTTGAAACTAACATAGAGGGACACACACACTACTTAAATATGCCTTGAACCCAACAAAACGGAGTTTGTCACATGAAACCTTTAGAGCAATTCAGCTCTATTATGAATCATATCATAGTAAAAACTAAGCAATGATATCCTTTTTCACCTCCAGAAGCCACCACTTAATGCAGTAATACATCAAATTATGACAACTACCAGATCATTGTCTGGGTATTTTGGTGGAACTTGCATGAGTAATGGTCTTAAGATGACATCACAACAAATTAGGATATGATAATTGTTACTAATCCCTTTTTCATATTGGCAACGTAGACTATATAGAATGTTGTAAACTGAAAAAAGAAAACTGAATAAGCTGACTCATTGTTTCTAGTCTGGGCATGTTTAAGATGCTCCAACAATGGCAACAGTCAGATCTCTGCACTGAAATAATTCTAAGAGTGCATACCTGCAACATACTTGCAAAGAAAATTACCTGTTTTTTTGATAGACCAACATGTTTAGCTTCGTTAGAATCTTCTAATTTGATGGCAACTTCTGCATTGCCTGGGACATTGTTCTTCCTTTTGGAGCCACCAGACTTAAATTGTTCAATTGATGGTCGGAGTTGCACAACTGCATGAATAGGATTCAAGACTAACTGCAAGACAAAAATGGACAAAGGTCTCTTACAATACTTGACATGTTATAAACACATATATACTTTAAAATAAAGGGCAATAATAGAAAAACATTAAGCAGCCGATATGCTGATGCTCCAGGACAAAATATCTTAATCTTAATACTAGAAGAGGTCCTTAAATGGTTCAAGTACTTACAATCACCTTTAAGGTAATGAATATGGTAGGTTGCTTACCTTATTATCTACGAGAACACCAACAGCATAGCCAGCTGCCAGAGATGGCTTCCAAGAAGAAGACAAAGTCTAAAGAGAAACCACGAAATAAGACATCATGTTACATTATCAAACAAGCTACACATAAACTGAACCTTGTTTAAAGTGCAAATTTGGAGACAATCAAACCTGCTTCGTTATGTTAGCCCTGCTAGCCCTGTCACTGTCCCAATTACTCGAATCAACATCAATTGACAAGTCCATTTCTACCTCTGCAGTCGAATGTTTAACCCTAACCTAGAAAAAAGAACAAAAAGAACAATACATACACTTCCATTTTCGTTCAATAAATAAATAAATATAGTGAAGAAAAATAAGACACACCTCTTCACATCTCTCATCCAATTCATACGGACGCCAACACGGTCTCAATGGATATTGCATAACGTATAACTGAGAGTTTTGAATACAGCTTTTAACATTTAATAAAAAAATAAAATATTCTACAATCAAATACACAACATAACAGACATAAAACCTGAGTGTCTGCATCAATTGAAGGAGTATAATACACATCGATTTCCCGAACAATCATATCTTCTTCTTCTTCTAATTGATTCCTGCTTGAATCCACAGGCTCATCAATTTTCGGTTTTGCCTCCAGATCCGGTGCCGGTTTCATCTCAACCTCCGCCGCCACTGGTTTCATCTCCATTTTGACAGTGCCATTCAAGGCCGAAGGTTTTTCAATCTTCGGCAAAAGATTCGCTGATTTTGTTGAATTTTCTTCGATTTTCGGTTGTTTTGGTTCAGGTTTTGGCAAAGGTTTGTCGAGGCTGGATTTCGGCCTGAATTTGGGGACCCGAGCGGGAACTTTAGTCTGATTCTCATCATCCAGTTCACTAAAGTCGTCAAGGTCCATCCTCAAGACTACGGTGGTCTCTCTCTCTCAGGTTGATCACTGAATAAGAGTAGTTCCACTCAGTGAGCTCGTTCGCTATAAAGAAAATATAGTGGGAAGGGGTTACAGAAGAAAAATTTTAATCTTTTTTTAGGCTTCAGGGTTTTCGATTTGGGATTTTTCTATTTTGGGATTATAAAGATGAATTAAACTAAAAACACAGAGAGAAAAGGAATAATAGTAGTACTACCAATGTTCCGAAACTCGGACTAGACTATGACCCGTTCAAGGGTTCGATTTTCGGATTGACCGGTTGGATAGGTCGGTTGGACTGTATTCTATAAAATTCTTTTTAATTTCTGAATGTTTGAAATTTATCAAAAACACCATTATAATACTCTCTTAAGGTTTGAAATCTATCCGAAACACCCCTATCACGTGAAGGGACTAGTGATGGTGGCGGCAGCGACGATCGACGGCCAATCGAGGTTTGGAATCATGGGGCTTTTAATGTATAGGTGTCGGCGAATCTGATGGTGGTGCTAGGGAGTTCCATCAGCATCGGAACTCGCCGAAATCAACAAAAGAAGTCTGACGGTCGCGTGAACTTTAGGTAGACGGCGAGCGACGAAGGCTGGACGACGGCAACTGAAAATGGCTGAGTTTTGTTGTGGAGATGTCGTCAAGTCTAATAGTGGTGTTTTCTCCGTCAAACGATGTCGAAATCCGGCAGGATTGAGCTGCAATTGGACAGTGATTCGATACTATTTCGACAGTCCAACCACGGTCCAATCCGGTTTGAATGTAATTAACGGTTTTTAAAGGATTTCGGACCAAATATGCCATCGGTTACCAATCGATCCGATCCAGTTTTCAGAACATTGAGTACCACCCAATGAGCCCGTTAGCTGTAAAGATGGTGACGTGCTTATAGAATGCCACATTTAACGCACAAAAATTTGTTTTTTGAATTAAATATTACTTCTTTAATAAGGGCAGTAAAAGGTAAGGAAGTCAGGGTTTACGGTTTTTTATTTGATATTTTTCTATTTTGGGATTATAAAGATTAATTAAACTAATAAAACAAAGAAAAGAAAAAGAACTTACCGTACAACGTTATGAAGAGCGACGGATTGAAGAGGGGAGATAAGATTGCTAGAGGGGTTTTGAAGATAGGAGAGACATGAGGTGTAATACTAAATGATGAATTAATTTCTCTTTCAAAAAAAAAAGTTAATTTCTTGAATGGTTGCTCTGGATTCGTCGGCAACCGAGATCAAGGAGGCGCTGGGTCTTGTCGTCCACGGAGTTGGAGAGTGGCTAGGCCTCAGACGACGGCGTTGGAGCGTGACTGGGCTTGTCAAGATGACGATTGGTGGGAGCGCGGTGACGACTTAGGAAAAAATGAAAAGGGTTTTTAATATTGGAATAAATTTTAAAATTTAAATAATTACAAATATAAAATTTTAATATTGGGACAATTAGAGAAAACTCCATATCTTTCGTGATTAACAATAAGCCCCGAACTTCATGGAAATGCAACCTTAACTCTTGTAATGGTAAAATTGAGTTTCCATTTTTCTCCCTACATATTATAAAAAGATAAAATAAATTAATTCTCTTCATTTTTCTATTAGTTTTCTGTCATCTGACTAATGCTAATGCATTACATTTACCCATTTTGCATGGAGAAAGTGAAGAGGAACATGTGTTGCCCATTTTGCATGATAATAATAATAATACAAGTGGAGATATATGGTCCATTTAGTTTATTATTCTGATACTTTTTAGAATAATATTTTGAAAAAAGTTAAATTGGATGGGTATTATGATGTAGGATTTGAAAATTAACAAAAATACCCCCTATGTTTGTTTATTTACTAAACCCCCTTATAATAAAATATTAAAATTTAACAAAAACACCCCTAACCCACCCATTAAATACGGACAGCCGGCCACCACTGCCGGAGGTGGTCAAAGTCGTCGTATCGGTGCATGACCGGTTGGATCTTGCCGGTTGTGCACCGATATGGCCTTTTCCGGCCATATCTACTAGATCTACGGCTAGATCTAGTCATTGACAGCCAGATCTGGCCACATTTGGTTGTCAACGACGGCCAAAGATACGGCTGTCGTTGATGGTCAATGACGACCGCTACGGCCAAAGATCTGGCCATTGACTGCTAGATCTTTGGCCGCAAATCTAGCCGGAAAAGGCTAGATCAGTGCACTATCGGCCAGATTCAGCCGATAGTGCACCATTATACCAGATTTCGACCAACTTCCGACAGTGGTGGCAGAAATCTAGTAAATATGGGTTGCTGGAGTGTTTTTGCAATTTCTAAAAAAAAATTGGGGGTGTTTTTAAACTAACAAATTCAGGGGGTTTAAAAAAATTGAATAATATAGAATAATATTTTGAGAATAAACCAATTTTACTGTTTAACTTTATTAGGAAAACCAGAATAATATTTGGAAGAGTGTATCAAACGGAGCCGTATATATTGGCTTCGTTTGGTTCACAATTGGGTGTTTTTGGGAAAAGTTTTCTGAAAAAAGTTAAAAAAAATTTGAATTGGGCGGATATTACGATGTAGAATTTATAAATTAATAAAATACCCCCTATATTTGTTTATTTATAAAACACCCCCTATAATAAAATCTTAAAAGTTAACAAAAACACCCCCAACCCAATATCAAATACGGACAGCCGGCCACCACCGCTGGAGGGTGGCCGGGTTCACCGTATTGGCGCATGACCGACTGGATCTTGCCGGTCATGCGCCGATATGGCCTTTGCCGGCCAGATCTACGACCAGATCTGGCCGTCAACGGTCAGATCTGGCCGTATTTGCTCGTCAACGACGACCAACAAACGGTCGTCGTTGATGGTCAACGACGACGTTTGTTGGCCGTCGTTATAAACTGTTACGGCCAAAGATCTGGCCTTTTCCGGTCAGATCCACCGTGGATCTGACCGGAAAAGGCTAGATCAGCGCACTACCAGCCAGATTCAGCCGGTAGTGCACCATCCTAACAGATTCCAGCCATTTTCTGGCAGTGGTGGCTGGAATCTGGTAAATATGAATTACTGGGGTGTCTTTGTAATTTTTAAAAAAATATTTAGGGGTATTTAATTAAATTATCAAATTTAAGGGGTTTAAAAAAAGTTGAATAATATTGAGAGTAGTATTCCCAAAAATCAAAGTTTTTGGGTATTTTACTGTTTAACTTTTTTTGGAATATTAAAAGTAGTATTCTGAGAATTGAAACAAACGAAGCCATTGACTTTGATCTTGGAAATGATGTGAATGGTTGAGAGAAAATAATATAGATTCTTAATTTTCTGATTAATTTTGATTATGTAATACCATAATTTAATGCCAATAATACCACAAAAATCTTTAATTAATTTTGGGGATGATATTAATTTTTAGAAATTTTGATTATTTTATTATTTTTTTGAAAAATGCATATCTTACGATACAATATGATACGCACTACACAAGGGCGGATCCAGAAATTTTTATTAGGATTGGCCAAATAAAAACTAATTTTATATAACATTTGTATTCTGTTTTTTCAGTCAATATTGTCACAAAAACAAAAAACAAAAAAAAAAAAAATTACATTTACTATTGTCCTTGGCGAGGCTTCATATTGAGGAATCGTTGCATGACCATCTCCTTATCAACACTGTCAAATAAATCTTTCTCAACATATGGAATTAGGCTATCATTTAAGAATTGATCTCCCATCCTATTACGTAAATGAGTTTTCACAATTTTCATAGCAGAAAATGCCCTTTCTACACTTACAGTTGCAATTGGTAAAGTGTGATGAACAAATATACCAATGAGTAAATAAGATGCTTCTTCTTTTCAACCATTTTCTGAGCAAGAATGATAATATCATTTAGTTTTGAAAAATCACTATTTGAGCGCATATCATCAATGTAATTATCAAGTTGAAGTTCAAGTGCCATAAGATCAGTAGAAGAAAATTCAAGTGGATAAAATTGAGCAAAACCAACTAATTTTCCCTTATCAAATGCTTGAAAGCAATCACTTGGATTTAGGGAGGCCATGCAAATAAGTAATTTTGTATTACCTTCATTAAAACGATTGTTAAGCTCTGATAGTTGCAAATCTATTATGGCATAGAACAACTCAACACGATAATGAAATAAATTTGTCATCTCTTGAACATTACGCTGCGATCTCTGTCATGCAACAAATTTCTCTTGCATATTTGGCACATCTATATTATGAGCAATGCAAAAATGAGAAACTTCATCAAATAGATTATCCCATCCATTATTTCTTATCAACAATAATCTTCTTTTCGACAAGTGAACCAAAGACATATCATTTATAATATCTTGATCCTTCCTTTGCAATGCTTGTGAATGTTCAAATGTGATTCCCAAAATGTTTTTCATCATGTGCAGGTTAAAAGCAAAATCAAAAGAAGTCATATAATCCACCAAATCACTTGCTTCAACTCTATTATCAGAATTTTCAGTAAGATCCTCAAGCACTTCAATAACAGATGAAAACAAATTAATCAAGCTCAATAAAGTCTTATAATGTGAACCCCACCATGTTTCCCCTAGCCGCTTAAGACTAGTATCTTGATTAAGACCTTGCCCTGTTGAAAGCTCACCACTTTTAATAGCTTTTTTCACCTTCAAAGCTTGTTTCTCATTAAGAAGATCCCTACGTCTAGGTGACCATCCAACAATATTTATCACACAAGAAACTTTCAAAAAAAAGTCTCTCAATATTTGTATCCTTTTTTGCCATAGCTATAAGTGTCAATTGAAGTTGGTGAGCAAAACAATGAACATAGAAGGCATATTCATTGTCTTTCAATATATATGCTTTTAACCCATTAAACTAACCTTGCATATTACTCGCACCATCATAACCTTGTCCATATAATCTTGATATGCTCAAATTGTATTTAGAGAACAATGTTTCGATTCCCATCTTTAGTGACAAAGCAGTCCTATCCGTGACATGCATAATGCTCAATAGACACTCAACAACACATCCTCTTTTATTTACATAATGTAAGATAATTGCCATCTGCTCTTTGTTGGATCTAATCACGCTTCATCAGCTTGTATAAAAAAAAAAAGCATCTCTAAGATCACTAATTAGTTTGTTGATGGTTTCAACTGCAAATGCATTGATTATGTCTTTTTGGATACTAGGAGCAATCAATTTATCATGTCCAAGACATTCTCCAATGCTACTAATCTATATTCTTCATTTTGCTCAGCTGTATAGTGTAAAGTTCAAGAAAGTTTCCCCGATTCATTGAATTAACACATCATGGCCATGAAAAGGCAATCCTTGTCGAAGAAGAAACCGACTAGCAAATTGATCCTTTCAACCGAATACGATAATCTTCTCACTGTTGGTCTATTTCTTATTAATAATTGTACTTACATGCTGCTTTTGGTTCACCAAATCTTGACAATTTTTCACAGTTTGGTTATGATAACTGTTAGGACCTCCAATATGATATTTAAAATTTTCAAGTCTCTTCCAATTGCGAAACCCAGCAAGAACAAAAGAATCCCCGCCACTTTGCTTACCTTTATCTGGTTTGAAAAGATAACAACATAAACAATATGCAGCATCATTCTCAACACTATATTCAACCAGTAAGGATATTTGTCAAACCAAAAACGTTGGAAACTCCGTTCATGATCACCAGATTTTGATTTGGGAAACTTATGGTTGCGAGGTTGACAAAGACCCTTTTGTAGATAACGCTTCTGACTTGGTCTCGAACATTAGGATGATAAAACATAATTCTTGGTTGAAATCCAAGATCAAAAGGAAGATTTTCCAAGTCAACTTCGAAGCAATTTTTCTTTGAAAAATGTTGGTTTTCATGATCATTGACACCAGAACAAAGTTGAGATGTCTCAACAATTAACTTTCTTTTAATATTTTTCCATACTAAATACAAAGAAATAATTATATAAATACAAAGAATAATTAACTCACAATTGAATTCTATAATAACTATAGAAATTCTAAATTTTCCAACTTAAAGTTTTTAATCATCAACTTAAAGTCTTAAAGACTTAAACATACATAAAAATAAACCCTCCTTGATTCTATATATATTTCTATTTCTATTATCTATATATTATTGTTCTTCTAATTTTGGGACACAAAACAATCATTTACCTATCACAAAATATGGAATCTAAAAACTTCCCCTTTTTTCCTAAAAGTTTTCTATAAATTCAATGCACAATGCTATTTATAACACACAATAAAAAAAAAAAAAAAACATATACACAAAGAAAAAAGTACTACGAGAGAAAATAAGTGATAGAATTTTGTTGAAGAAGAATTAGGGAGAGCAACAGAGGAATTGTGAAGACGCGAGCAACCACCGGATGACTTATTGAGGGTTTGCAAATTGCAACTGCAAAGGAATATTCTATTTTAACACGTTTTATTGAAAAATTGAAGGTGGGCAGTGGCCAAGTTTTTTTAGTATTAAAGGGGAGAGTGGGCCAAGACTTTTAGTTCTAAAATTAGAGTGGGCCACAATTTTTTATATTGAAAATAAAAATTAAGGGTGGGCCAAAGTTAAACCAAATAGAAAATATTTAATTTAAAAAAAAAATTTGGGGTGGAACTCTGGATCCGCCCTGGGCCGCTACAGAATTCAAAAACTTAAGTTTTCGATACATAATACGCGATTTGACTACCATGGATCAACATATAACGTCACATAAACAAGTTAGTCTTACAATGTTTAGATTAAAAGCATGAATATGATCACATAAAAAGCAAGGAAGTACGGTTGAAAATATAGGTGGAAAATACATACAAAACATGTTAAATACATAAAATAGAAATAGGAAAAACTAAGAGTTATTTTGCAAACGGTGAGATCGTTGAGAATTTTTTTTTTATTGGTTTTCTGATACTATAATAATAGTATACAACTGATCCAGTGGCGGAGCCAGGATTTTTGCCCAGGGGAGCCTCCACACCTCCACCATTGTTTGCCAACAACTAGTGAAAACTTTTAAAAAATCACCAAACCTTAAGCAAAAGAGTTACAGCAACCACAATTCACCAAAAATATTCCACACAAATTTAGAGGTCATCTCACCTCTAACACAAGTAATACATAAAAATTTTACAAAGAGATAGATTAAAATCACCAGAGAAGCAGTCAAACTTCATGTTGTACAACTCCAAATCCAGACGTTAATATCAAAACTCAACCATCTAGATTAAAGATCCACACATCCTCTGCGTATTGACCAAAAAATCAAGTTAGAATGTAACCTGAAGATTTAAATATATGAATATTGATTGTTTAATATGAAAGCAAGTTAGAATGGTATACCTGAATCTTCATTTAACACGATTTTCCGCTTCGATATATTCTGAAAGTGTTCAATGATATCTTCATTTTCAATTGTAGCAAAAACTTCCTTTTCAATGTAAACCACCAAGCAATTGTTCATCCAGTCTCTCCCATTCGATTACACAAACTATATTCACAAGATTCATTGCAAAGAACACCCTTTCAACTGTTACAGTAGCCACAGGCAAAACCAATGCATTTAATAAGCAAGAAAACTTTGTTGTAAGCAACATCCTTCTTAAACTCAACCATTTTTTAAGCAAGGTCGGCAATCCCTTCAACATGAGTGAAATTGGCATTGGTGCTAACATCCTCATAATAGTTTCAAGTTGATCATCGAGCAACCAAATATCGTGTTGAGGAAAATCGGTAGGATAGAACTTTGCAAATTCAAGTAATCTATCTTTGTTAAATGCAACAAAAGAGTTCCTGGATCAAGAGATGACATACATTGAAGCAACCTCATATTTACTTCATCAAAACAATTATTGAGTTTTTCTTGAATGTTATCCAAAACTGTATACATCAATTCCATCTTAAAATGATGTTTATTCTGAATTGGCGCAATCCCCGTTTTGTCCTCCCAAAGTTATCTTCCATATTCTCCAAGATTGTATGTCTTTATCTTTGCACATATAGAAGCTTCTTTTAACAATATGTCGAAGCAAGGTCTTCATTTCTCATTTTATGCAATCGACGCTTCAAAATTTGTACAAATTGTATGACATTAAGAAGATCCTGATCTTTTCTTTGTAATGCTTGTGACGGTTCATTGTGATTCCCAATACTCTTTTCATTAGAATAACAAAAAAGACGAATTCAAAATTCTTCATGATTCGTAATAAACTCCTTGCTTGACTTTTGTTTTGCCAATCGTCTCCTTCAATCTCAATCACCTAACACATCAACAATAGAAGAAAATAAATTTATGACACTATGAATTGTCCCTATGTGTGAACCCCAACGTGTATCTCCTGGTCGTTTATAGTGCATTCTTGATTCAAACCTCATCTCATATGAAGATCACCATTAGAAATCAAAGATATCACATTTCATATTGTTTATCACGTAGAAGATCTCTGCGCTTACAAATGCCGCTATAGTGTTTGATAACATAGAAAGAGATTGAAAAATTCACCTAATTCCGAATGGTTACTTACACTTTGACCAGCGCCAGTTGGAGTTGATGAGAGAAACAATGAATGTAGAAAGCTGATTATTTTCTCTCAATATCAAAGTCTTCAAACCATTGAACTCACCTCTCATATTGCTTGCTCCATCGTAACCTTGCCCCCATAAACTTGTCAAACTCAATCCATGCTTACAAAAAAAAAAGCATCTATTGCATTTCAAAGACTTCGCAGAAGTATTCTTAACATGCACAACCCCGATAAAACGTTCAATAACACACCTATGTGTCCACATAGCGAAAAACAATAGTCATTTGTTCTTTCACTGCACATCACGAGATTCACAACTAGTTAGAGAAGGGTTGTTTATCTTTCACAATTTCTGCAATAATTTCTTGGTCGTCAAATGAGCACAACCACTAGTTAATTCCCTTTGGATGTTGGGGGCCGTCATTTGACGGTTTTTTGGAGCATTTCCAGCACAACTTTTTTTATGTCGTCATTATGATTGGATAGAAACTTCAATAGTTCCATAAAGTTACCTTGATTTTCAGATTCAATCGACTCGTCATGACCACGAAATGCCAATCCTTATGTAAAAGAAATCTAATGCAATCAATTGTGCATTCAAGCGAATGCGATAGTCCAATTTGGCCTTTTTTGACATGCAAGCAAGATTTACATCGATGTGTTGCCTTTGGTTTATCAAATCAACACACTTAGCATGACATTGGTTATGAGTACTAGAATGATTTCCAACATGTTTTTTCACTTTCGCTTTATCTTTCCAATTATTAAATCCCTTACTCACAAAAACTTCACCACCTGCTTGGTCACCATAATTAGTTTTGAAAAGATAACAATTTAAACAAGATGCAATCTTTTGCCGCACTATATTCCATCCACTTGGACCTTTCTTTGCACCACTCAGTGTAACCTACGCTTTTTATCTCCGAAAAGAGTGAAAGGAAAGTTATGATCTTTAGGTTGGCAAGACTTTTCAACAAGCATGCTCTTCGAACTTCCTCCTTTTGCTTGTCAGTACAACAAATCTCGTTAATTGGTATCCTTAATCCTGGATCAGTTTCAAGCCATCTAAATTGAACATCCCGACCGAAGGTTGAGCTTCTTTTACTTGGTGTGTTGTTGCTGAGTGGGGCTTCTTCTTCTAATGGGATTTGATTACCTCAATATCAATAGAGTCTCCACCAACAATTTCTGCTGGAATTTTCTTTAATCTCTTGAAAATATTGGATATCATAGCTATCAAATAAAAAAAAGATAATATGATACAGGCAAAGAAGATGAAATTTTAATTAATAAAATTACAAGGACTGGCTTATCATGTTTTAAATGTAACAATTAGATCTAATTAAAATATTATTTTAACAATTAATTAATCATTTTTTGTGTTAATTTTCTTATATAAAATCATTTTAGTGAAATTTAAAAACTTATATATTTGCTAATCAATTTTTTGACTTATTTAAATTATTATAGATCAACTAGATTAATTTAATTACTATTAGAGCACACTAGTCAACTAATCACATTCTAAAATATAAAAATATCATTATTAATATATTATGATTGGTGCAAATCAAGTTATCCTCTAATTATATAAAAAAATTAATTTTATAAATGTATTTGTGATATCTAAAATCACAAATTAATATTCAACCAATTACAAAATCAAACAAACACAAAACAAACTCACAAGATTTATACTTTTTTTCTTCAGAATAAAAAACCTCCATAAAAACAAATATGATTTAACCCTAGAATAAACTAAATTAAAATAAGTAATATACATACCTAAAACTGATAAAGCAGAAAATAGCCTTTAAAAGTTATAACTTCAACCGAGCCAATAAGACAAAGAGAAAGAGAGGCGCACTCCCTAATAAAATTAGGGATAAAAAAATTGTGATTTTATAGAGATTGGCCACATATGACATATATATAATATATTTATACTAATAACTAGTGGATCTCGCAATATTTATGGTGGGTGAGCCTCTGCATTACGTCATTACCACATTAGCTTTTAGTTTTAGTTTGATTGTGGCTTGTGGGCCATATGTATTGTACCTTTTTGATATAAAAATCATTAATTATAAATATTGGCAAATTTTTTTTAAAATCTGAGGGTAGGCCCAGGCCTACTCTCAAGTATGCTGGATCCGCCCCTGACTTGATCAAACATATAATCATCACTAAATAAACAAGTTAAGTCTTACAATGTTTTAGATTAAAAGCATGAATATAATCACATAAAAAAGCAAGGAATGTACGGTCAAAAATATAGGATGAAAAATACATAAAAAACATGTAAAATACTTAGTGGAAATATGAAAAATATAAGAGTTATTTTGCAAATGGTGAGATCTGTTGAGATATTATGCATAAAATATTTATTGTGAAAATGGATTTGATGATTAAGCATAATTTTACCCTCAAAGAAAAGATTCTGAAAATGCCTTCAGCTTGATGGAAAATTAACAATTTCATCCTTGAGGTTAGAGTTAAATAATCTTTAATTTTGCAAAAAAATTTCTTAACGTTTTAGCTATCCTTGACGGATGTTAAACAGCTTCACACGGCCATGTTTCGAAGGCTAACGACTTTGGTCACCCACTAGTTAATTATATTTTAACTAAGAAAATTATTTGTAGTCCCTATAATTTCAGTTTATTATAATTAAAGTGACTCATTCCAAGTACTAAAAATTTGACCCTTCTCGTTTGAAATACTATTATATTAGTTCTTTATTTTAATAAAATGGTAGCTGAATTTTAAATTTGCACTCAAATGACAAAAATACCCTTTTTCCTAAAATTATTATAATATTCTTGAACCATTAGGTACAAAAATTCTTTTATTAAGAAAAAGTGCAATAAAATTATATGTATGTAAAGAAATAAAAAAAAAAATTACACATTATAGTTAGCAAATTAATAAACGCATTACGCATAACAAATCAAAATTAAATAAACACATTCGCTATATATTACAAATCAAAACTAAAGTATATAATATTTTTATTTAATTTAGAGTTTGTAAAACGAATTTTTTCATTATCTTTTAAAGGGAACTCTTGTCATTTTAGAAAAATTTCTTTCCCCCAGGTAATCACCAATTCGGTCACGAATTCCAGTTGCAACGTTGGGAGCGCAACCTTGTAACGTAGCGACTAAATTCTCAATTCTGAGGTATTTCTTCGCCATTCGATAAAATTGAGCTAAAGACATGTGGTCTTTAGCTTGTAGATCTTTCCACAAATCTATTTGCGGATGAACCCCCGCTATGATTAAGGTTCGTGTTAACTCCTCGGGAGCATTCACCACCTGACTCAGTTCGTGGTTAAACAACTCTAGGTAGGATTTCAACGTCTCTTGTTATCTTTCCGAATGTTTTACTAAGATAACTTAACGACATGAAAAATTTTCGGTTTGCTTGGAAATGTCTGAGAAATTGCACGCTTAATTGTCACCACGATACGATTGATCTTGTGGGTAGTGACTTGGTCCACCTTTTTGCTCCCGAGCTCAGGGTTATCACCAGACAACGACATTTGGCTAGATCTGAGACCTGGTGCAATTCCATCAAGTCATTGAATATGTCAAGATGGTTTTGTGGGTCACCACAACCATAAAAAACCTTAACATCAGGCATTCTAAATCTGGGGGGGAGTGGCTCTCAAAGAATCTCAAGAGAGAACGGGGACCCCCCTACCCAATAATTCTCTCCTTTTGTCTTGCACGCAGCTTGTCTAGAGCTCATTGTAGATCTTCTAACTATTGCCTAGCAGGGAAACTGCTTTTTGAGACCTCCATTTGCGGTCTGTGATTTCTGGAGGTCGCTTCTTGGAAATGAGGGTAGCTGCCTTGCGGGTTTTAGTGACGTCTTCCACCTCCCAGTCTATCAAATATGTTTCCCTGTATGTTGCCATTCATATGTGGTGGATAAT